ACGCCGCCTTTTTGGCAAGCAGGCAGTCCCGGACGCCCAGTGGGGCAGCACCTCGCCACCCCTAGCGGAGCAGGGAAGGAATAGCTCCCCAGTCCCGGTGCTGCTCAGTTCCCTGATCCTGAGGGGAACTGGGAGCCCCACAGTGCTGGGATGGAGGGGAGAGGGCAGAGACGGACTCAGTCCCTGCACTGATTGCTCCCAGCTCCTGTGGGGAGCTGAGCAGTGCCAGGACCAGACCTCCTGCCGGTGTGGCTGACCAGAAGCAAATTTGTTCCCCGTCAACCACTACACAAGCCCTGCTGTATAGGTCCTTGCTGCTATCTGCTCCCCTGGTGGGACAGCTCCTGGCCACCACTGGCTGAGTGGGGAACTTCCACTCAGCCACAGGCTCACTGCCAACTGCCTTGTTGGCCAACTGGGGCAGGGGACTGGGAAAGAGCTATTGGGGAGGGGATTCTTTCTCAGCCCCGGGTCTTATAGGTAGGAAACAACTGACCCCCTCACCCTCCAAATCCAAGGCCTGACCCTGGTGTCCCTTGACAGCCTGGGGCTGGCATTCAGGGGAGCCTACTGCTCTCCCTGACTGCCATATGGCAGGAAAGAAAGAGAGGCATTTTCCTGCCTTGAACTGCTTCTGTTGGGAGCAGATTTGATCCTGACAGATGCATGTGTAGATGTGCTCTCACAGAATGCTTACTGCACAGTATTTTACCACACAGTAAGCTTTATGTCCATTAATTGCATGTGTAGATGCACCCTCTGTGTGAAAAGGCTGCAGAACGAGAGGAAAGCCAGAGACAAACTACTGAGTAGTAGAGAGAACTAATTCAGGGAAAGCAGACTTGGATTGTTGAATAGGGAAACTGCCTAGTTTCCTCCTACTGCACTCAAGAAAACAGCTGTGTGTATATCCTTTTAAGAATACGCTAATGAAAAACATGAGCCTATTTGCAATTTCTCCTCCTAACAGGAATACTCTGGCAAGGCCCTGAATAATGGCTAATTTCTGAGAACAAAGGGCCACAAAATTATCATTATGATGACCACTTGCAACCTGGTCTCCTTTAGGAGCAAAATGAGAAGAGGAAAGCTTAAGTAAAGTATTTCTTTCTCGCCTTCATGGATGCAAAGTCATCAATTATGTAATTGTAATATATTTGCTTTGCAAGTGTGTTCTCCACTGAGCATGGTCAAATGGTTCAGCCTACCCTCCCCAATTGCTGACTGCAGGTAGTTCTTAATAATCTTAAGCTTACTAAAAGTGCTTTCCCTGGATGCAACACAGACTGGCAAATCTATGAGCATTCTCAAGCAAATGCACATCTAAGGGAACACAGATTCTATACCTTTGCCATAAATCTGGTTGAGAAGCTCAAGTGCAGTGCCCATGGCTCCTCCAGAGGTGCACAAATTTGAGTCTTTCCTGATTTTGTAAAACAGACCAAGTTCTTCTTGCAACTCATCCTTGTTCACATCTCGTGGGTACGTGGTGGACAGGTACTCTGCAAACTTCACAATTTCTTCATCCTCTGCAACAGCTGGTGGGTCAAGTATAGGTGAGAACAAGCTTGAGAGCTTCCCCATGGTCTCAGCTACGCTTTTAGATCTGAGAGGAGCATATCCATGGCTGTGATGAACACTTCAACCCTGAATTTATCTTCAGGGAAGAGATTGTGTGTTCTGTATTGGCTGGCTTATCTTGGAAATGCTTCATCCTTTAGATTCTTCTGTGTGTTCTCTTGAATTCAGTGGTGATACCTAGCCCCTCAGTGATGACCTTAGCTTCTGTGAGAAGACTTGGCCAGGAAGCATTCAACCATTGAATTTCTTCCAGGAGGCTCTTTACATGTTGCACCAGCTACGATTTCCAGGCAAGGTCCCACTGGAGAGTAATTTTCTGTGGCAGGTATCACAGGGAAAATGCCTAGGAGTGGTGTGAGGCCAGGCCTTAAGAGAGTAATCCTTCCTTCATGAGTAGTGGAGGAGGCCAGCCAGCAGGCCACAACCAGAAGACCTGTGAGACTGAGCCAGGCTCAGGAGAAGTACACCCCTATTCCTATCCCCTTATCCCTGTGTAAGAAAAACTGAAGCGTACCTATCAAAGGATTGCATTCATCCAAGAGTTATACAGATACTTTGCATTTAATACTTTTTGAAATGGGGAAATATGTGAACCTGAATATATGTTATGTCCAATGTTATTTTTCTGGGAAATATAAAGAAAACAATATATATAATTTTCATTATTATATTCTTGCAAATTCATTTCTGATTTTGGCCCTTAAGAACCCACAAAGCTTACATTCACTTACTGTTTGAACTCTTTCCTCTTGAGGTCTTTGCGTGACAACAGGCCTGCTCTGCCACAGATCCCTCCTTAAACCTTCCCTGTTCCTTCTCTCCTTGCAAGAGACTCTGTAACCAGGGCTACTTGGCCTAGGCCCTCGGCTAGGCAATCATAAGCCTGATCAATCTTGTTTCTATTGCTGCCCAGAGATAAAGAAGGATGTTACTTTACTGTGATTGGTTTAGACTCCCCCTTGGACATCAATGCAACAATTTCTTAAGCCTCAAATTAGCATATGTTTCACAAACAACTATGTATAATATTTACTTCATGGTCAGGGAGGGTTCCCATAATGTCACAATTACATGTTGAGAAAGATTCAGTGTCATCCTATACACTAATACACCAATTTCCTCTTTTTTTTATGAAAACAAAATACCAAGAATTCTGGTGAGCAATGTTGCAGGGAAGGGGCAAACGGTACACACAGTAGCAGAGGCAGGGGGCCCTTGCTTTGCAGGGGCCTGGGGCAAATTGCCCCAGTTGCCCCTCCCCTTCCCCCCCCGGCAGCCCTGGTGCGAATCCAAGGATAAGAAGGCGTGCTAGTCAGATGCACAGCAGCACAGCACCATGCCAACAGAAGCTGTGTGGCGCCTAGAGTAGTGCCAGGTCCTGCTGTGGTTTTAGGGGAATTATCTCAAGACTTGAGGCTTCAGCATACAGTATTGTGAGTTTTCCAAGTGATACTGCAGTCCTTAGGCCAGTCTAAGCTGGCTACAGTGATTAACATGAGCCTTAAGACTGTAAATTATTTCTGGGACCCCAGAACAGCCAGGACTAGGACAACAGAAAAACAGATCAACACTTAAATTAATTGGATATTTTTTCAAGAAAACTTTTTTTTTTCTTTTTTCCATGGGAAAATCTTTACCCCAAAACTTTCATAGGAATGTACTTGTTTCAATGAAACTTAAAATGAATGATTGCTCACATTCAGGATGGAACTTCAGATGAAAGACCACCGCAAAATTGCTAATAATGGATGATTCTGATACTAATTTGGGGAGTTAGAGACCCAGCTCTGCTTCAGACAAGAGACTTGGGCTGGGTCATTGACATGAGGACTGTCCTAACCACATTTCCCTTCAGTTATAAGATAACTAGAATCAGTCAAGAAATCAGAAAACACCACATGTTTTGAGGGTGCAGTATACTAGGACTCTCCAGAAAGTTCATTTGACTTAAATTTTAAAGTAAATTATTTAAACTGCATTTTTTCTCTATGTGGACACCTTTAATAAACGGATTTTAATTTAGTTTAGTTTAATTCCAAAGTCAATTTAACAAAATCAAAGTAATGCATTTAATGCTGTTGAACTAAACTATATCAAACCATGCTTTTATTTATTTTAGGCTAAGTTTCCTGAGTGATCCTGTTTAAATAAGCCAGAGGACTGCAGACAGGTCTGGAAACCTGTTTAACTTTTGTTGCAAGTGAGTACAAACTTTAAAGTCTAGTGTTGCCGCTTTAAGTGGAAATATTGTTCACAACTGACTTCACAACTAATCATAAAAAGGAGCTTAATCATTCTGAGACAACAGACATTCTGAGAAAGGTGTTACCCTTACCATCCTTATTACATCCACTCAAGATCCAGCTCAGAAATGTTATCACTCTCCAGCAGGGTTTCCTGTATTATGTCTTCTCCATTTTTCCCATTAGTTGAATTTTCATCTTCAGCTAGATGATGTGTACTGGTCTCTCACCCACAAATAACAGCATTATGAGTATTCCAATATTCCAGTATTGAAAAGGAAATGCCGATTTTTTTACAGTAGTAACTCTAGTCCCAGGGACTGTGCCCATGTGTCCTATCTCTTTCTCTTTCTTTGCCTCTGAAAAGAAGATGCCAGATGACTCCTTTCTTATAATTTATGAGTGTGATAGATAGTGAAGTGCTACTCTGGAATCCCAGCAGTGGCTAAGAAGAAAAGTGAAACGTGCTCAGGGTGACCATATTATTTTTAAGGAAATCTGCCCCCCTTCTCTCTCTCCCTTCTCCCTCCAAGTCAATGGCACTGCTGCAGGCAAAGGCAGGCAGGCACCACCCCCTCGCCCCCCCCATCAGACTGTGCCCCACACCCTTGTGATTCCAGGATTTCTGTTTTAAGTTTCACCAATTGGCTGGAACCAACCTATGAAATATGGAAGCATCCTGGCCAAACCAGGATGTAAAGTCACCCTAGACATGCTCAAAAACATGGAAACTTAAATGTTTGAATTAGTTCCTAGAATATTTTATCATGTTAGTGAGTCCATAGGTTTGGTTATTCCCTTCCAGCAGTTAGGTTATTTCTGGCTTATTTTTCAACTTAATACTCATACCCATGATCCAGTTCCTACAACAGATTATGGTAGCATAGCATGGGGAAATTGGAGAGTAGAAGAAATAGGGGTTTCACACATACCAGTGCATAAGAGTCAAATATCATTAAAAGACACGATACATAACATTTTAGTCAGGTCAGACAACTAACTGAGACATGAGAAAGGGCCTTATCTGGAGCCCACAGAAGTAAATGGAAGATCTGTGATGAAATTTACTGGGCTGTATATCATTCCTGTGGTGAATAAAATATTTAAAGATCATATAGAATAGAACTAGGAAAATTGTCCTGTGGTAGAAGAGTTGTATGAAGAACTTGACAGTTGACTTGTATTAGGCCTACAAATGCAATGTTAAATGTTTGATTTAGTTTCTTGATAGCATCTGAATGATTATATAGTAGTGTTTTATCTCACGTATTGTATCCATGATTTTGCAAATGATACTGAAGGACAACCTGACTGCTTGCCTAGAAGCAAAGAGGATGAATGGCACAGTTAAACTAGGATGGTTTTTGCCCAATAAGCAACCTGCCTTCTGAATTCCCTGCTGAGTGCAATGACAGGGCGACAGAAGGTGGTTGGTTATAACAATACGGCAGTGGAATTCTTAAATAAATTGAAAAACCACAAAAAGCTTCAGAATTGATGCAAGTGGCATCATCTTTTGTCACTAAGCTTCTTTCTCCCTAAGATATTCCTAACTTTAAACCATGCTTATGATCCCCACTTTCTTCACCCAAAGCTTTTGTTGGGCCTCTCTTCCCAGAATAAATCTTAACTTTATTGCCCTATTTCTCATGGATTTACTAAATTCATTGTGCATTTATTGCTGTTTTTCAGTTGATTGCATGCTAAGCAAATTCATGAGCTAATGTCTAGAAACAAAGCAGAGCTGTTTTGGTACAATGATAGGGGCTTTCCCAAGGAGTACTCTGTAAATGTACATTTACAAAATAATGCACATCTCTCAAAGTATTTCATATCTTTATCTTTCTCTGTCACTCTCTCTCTTTTAAGAACACTATCTCTTTACTTGAGTACATTGCAATTAAGTAACAATTACTGATATTACTGTGGGAGTATACTTCAGTATCTTCTCTCTTTTGGTTGCAACTTCATTTTTGCTCTCAAATGTTTGAATACTGATTTCTCTCAAAATTATTCAGACCTGCTGCAGTACTAGGTGTTCTTTTTAGGCATTTATTAAGAGGTCAGTCTGTTTTTGTTGTTATAATTTCTGATCTTATTGCTCTACTAGGGCTGTGTGAAATGGAAGCGTTTAGTTTTGACCAGCATTTTGATGTTTCAACAGGGACAGTGTTTTGTTTCCACTTTTGTTTTGAGTCAAAACAGCTGTTCCATTTTGTTCCATCAAAACATTTTGCTGTTTCAACCCTGTTTTGACATTTCACCCATAGGATATAATGGAGAAGGTCAAAACAGGCTATAACTTTGTCATTTATGGCCAGATTTGGATGACACTTGCAGAAATGGTAGCCCCTTCTGTGGGTACGATTGTCGCAGAGCACTCAGGTGCCCTGCACCTAAAAGCAGAAATGGCTCAGGAGAGACCCTGAGTGGTGAGAAGGGGGAGGTTCAACTGCCAGTCACCAGGGCAGCACAGGTGCTGGTTGCTAGGGGAACCAAGGGAATCAGCTGACAGGAAGGGGCAGGGCTTGGCCCCTTCTTAAGACCAAGCATGAGGCCAAGAGGGCAGTTCCCCTCTGGCGGCCAAGGAGTGGGGAGCTCAGCCAGTGAGAAGATAGACTGCAGGAGCATCCCATGGTTGCCGCTATGAGTTGGAGTATTCCCGGTAGGGACAGAACGTGGTTTTGACTAGACGGTTTAGAGTTTATGTTGTAGCCCAGGGGCTTGAGTTTTCTGTCTGTAGTTTTATAAGACTGGAGGACCGGGTGAGGCTATAAGGGGTTGGAGGAGGCCTCATAGGAGCTCCACGGTAGCGTGGGACCCTGGCACCATAGAGGGCACAGCGTTCATTGTGCATTTGACCCCAGTCCCGGAGCCGAGAGGGGGCAGTGAGGAGCTCCGGAGCCGAGAGGGGGCAGTGAGGCGCCCCGGAGCCGAGAGGGGGCAGTGAGGAGCCCCGGAGCTGAGAGGGGGCAGTGAGGAGCTCCGCAGCGAGAGGGGGCAGTGGGGAGCCCCAGAAGTAAAGAAGGGCCAAGGCATAGGGCCAACTCTGTCAAGTACCATCTGCAAGGCTTGGGCTGCGGTGTAGGGGAGGAAAAGGAGCCTCAGATAGTGCCCCCTGACACCGGGCATATAAAGTGGGCAGCTTCCCACTAATTACATCACTCAATCAATTAAGATCAAGGTGTGGCAGGCAAGTAAGCAGGCGGTTAGCCCAAGACAGGAAGGCGGAGCCACCAATAGAAAGGCTCTTGCGAGATACTCCTGTCACAATGATGCGTGACAAGTTTCAAGAATATAAGTGCAGGGGATTTGGAGAAACTGTACCCCAAAATCTTGAGAGCAAAACTCATGTCACTTGTATGTGTTAAGTCATAGCAGAGTCAAAACTTCAGGTATGCTATCCCCTGATGAGGCACCAAACCTGCCACATTTCAAGGAGATAGCCGCAAGGGGTTTGGAGAAACTGCACCCCAAAATCCTGAAAGAAAAACTTGTGTCACATGTATGTGTTAAGATACAGTGGGGTCAAAATAGGGAGCTTGCTAACCCCTGCTGAGGCCACTAAGCCTGCCAAGGTTCAAGAAGATCAGTTCAGGGGTTTGGGGGGAATTGCACCCCAAATTCTTAAAAACCAAAGCTCATTTCACGTATATGTGTTAAGCTACAGTGGGGCCAAAACTGCAGGGGTGGTAGCCCCTGGTGAGGCCACAAAGCCTGCCAAATTTTAAGGTGATAGGTGCAGGGGTTTGGGGGGAACTGCACCTCAAGCTACAGACAAGCAAAACTCGTGACATGGGTGGTTGTGCAACTGTGTCTGTCCCTGGGGGGCTGGGGGGGACTACCACAGGTCTGACTGCTAAGCTACTGTGTTACCAGTTATCAATCAATAATGAGACCAGCTGAATACACAGTACCTAGCTACTGCATAAAGACTTAATGAGCACGGCTTAACACCTACAAAAGAACAGACTAAGGAGAGGAAAGAAACAATACAGACAATCAACTGCCCCAAGACAGACACAGTCAGTTGCACAAGCACCCATGGCACGAGTTTTGTCTGCCAGCAGCTAAGGGTGCAGGGCCCCAGAAGCCCCCTGCACCAAACTCCTTGATAACTGGTAACACAGTAGCTTAGCAGGGGCTAGCAGCCAGGCCTGCAATAGCTTCCCTTTCCCTGTGCCCCAAGACAGACACAGTTGCACAAGCACCTGTGGCATGAGTTTTGCCTGTCAGCAGCTTGAGGTGCAGTTTCCCCAAACCCCTGCACCAATCTCCTTGAAACATAGCAGGCTTTGTGGCCTCAGCAGGGGCCACCACCCTTTCAGTTTTGACCCTGCTATGGCTTAACATGTACACATGACATGAGTTTTGCTTTCAGGATTTTGGGGTACAGTTTCCCTGAACTCCCTGCACCTATCTCCTTGAAACTTAGCAGGTTTTATAGCTGCAGCAGGGGCTAGTATGCCTGCAGTTTTGACCCTGCTGTGGCTTAACATGTATACATGACACAAGTTTTGCTCTCAAGATTTTGGGGTGCAGTTTCTCTGAATCCCCTGCACCTATCTTCTTGAAACTTGAAACTTGGCATGCTGTATGCCCTCAGAAGGGACTACCATTTCTGCAAGTTTTATCCAAATCTGGCCATAAATGACAAGTTATAGGATGTTTTGACCTTCCCCATTATATCCTATAGGCAAAACGTCAAAACAGAGTCAAAATGGCGAAAGGTTTCAACTTGCTTTGTTTCATTTTGAGGCTGTTTCGACCAGATCTGTTTCATTTCAATTTTGCTGTTTCACCCTCGAAACAGGTTGAAGCAGCATTGAAGCAAAACTGGTGGTGAAATTTCGCACAGCCCTACTCTTTATCTTGGGGACCACAGGAAGGAAGGTTCTGGCTATCAAACAGCAGTGTGCATGTATACCAGAAAGGAACACCATTCTTCAGAATGTTT